CTTAATCAAGAACAATTATTATACGCTATTATTATACTATTAAACTTTGCCCCACTTCGCTAAAAATTTTGTATTCCATTTTTTTCATTGAGTGTGCCGAATAAAAGATTTTTGAATTTATCGCGTTTGTTGAATGCTTATACATGAATTGTCGTTGATTACATGTTTAATAAAGAAGTACGGAATAGGCCACAATTTTGCGTGCAAACGCATTAACAACAGATTGGAAGAAATCTGAGATCTAGAAATGTTCAGTTTTTATATATATTTTTGCTTTAAGAAGCGCTTTATTGACTTCAAGAAGAGATTTAAAGATATTTTTGATGATGTCAATATTAGATTTATAGATCTATATTAATCTATATTTATCCAAACATCCATATTAATCTATTCATTACTTTTTTCTAAATTTGTCGATTTTTAATAACACATTAAATACGAACAATTTTTTATATTTATTCTTTACAATATCATGTTTTGATAATGATCTGAAAATACAATTAAAAATACAAAATGGAATTCTGCAAAAACTCAATTCGCAAGAAGCATTTGCATTCAAAATTTAATAAAACATGAATATAATTTATATATAAAAAAGAAATTGTATTAAATGCGTAAATATACGAAAAGATAGCCTATTTTTCTTTCTAGAATTTTTTTTCAAGGACATCTTATGTCTTAGAAATTAATTAATCTGTCCTTTGCGTAAAAACAAATGTACTTTTTATCAAAGTATTCTATTAAAAAGGTCAAATGTGACAATCTTAGAGAATATTATCACGGATAACTGGACTTTGTAATCAATAAAAGTATAGGAATTTTTACAATCACATCTCTCACATGTAGGTCATATGTCTAAAGGTTTTTAAATCTTGTTACGAAATTATTTCGTTAATTTTTTCAAAAAAATGATGTTTATTAAACACATGAATGAATTAATGAAATAATGAAATAATTCAGATATAATGAAATATATATAATATCTATATGCATGTACGGAGTTACAAATGTATACAGAAAAAGATAATGTATAATATTAACATCAAAAATATCTTTAATTTATCTTTCTGTTACTTAACATATATTTTACTGATTCATAACCTTTTTAAAATATTTTTTAACTTAAATATATTTTCACGTCGAACAAATCATAGTAATTCTTTTGTATAAAAAAATTATGCTTTGTATTGCGCGCGCATATAAAAGTAAATGTATACAATCTTCTTATATCTTACGTAAAATAACGCACGTAGAAATGATTAATATATATTCTTCACAAGAATTTTTTAAAACCACTCTTTGCAAATATTAATTGTGTATATTATGCACATATACAGGGTTTCCAATATACTTTATACTATTCTACATAAATGCCTTGGTAGATTTATAATAAATTAAAATTCGATTAAAAAATAAAATACACTTAAAATTCTACAATAAATAACATTTCCTTATTTACTTGTGCTTTTTTTTACAAAATTAAATTATTATTGTAACATTTTCTTGTCACGTTAAAACAAGGCATTTTTTTCTCTTTATTGCAATATTTAGAGCTGAGAACAAGTGCATCGCATCTGGGATAATCTGCATTTTAAGTTTATTTCCCATTGTTCAAGATTCACTTTGAATCATGCTATATATTTCTTTGATATTTTCTGATTAGATTTGACACATTAATGATCGTTCGAACAAGTTAACTTGAAATATTTACAAGTAAAAGTTGCATTTTTCCCGTTATAAGTACAAAAATCTCTTCGGTATGATTAATCACGCGTTTATATTTTAACAAATCTTACTTTATATATATATATATA